TGCAGCCGACAAATCTACAGCAGCCTTGTGATGCATCATGTCAGTATTGAGGATTTTCTCTAGCACCACGAAGAATTAATACCGCTCTTAAGGCCAAAGGAGGTCCAGGCCAGTGCCTGCAAGTGTACCTAATAAAGTGTCAGATGAGTGTATTTTACACTGTAATGCAAAGTTGCTTCATTCAACCTAAAAATAAGCAAAAAAAATTTCAGAAGCAATTAAATCTGCAATCACTTCAAGATGTGACAACTTGTTCTTTAATTAAAAACAGTCATTTGTACAAGAAATGTACACATAAAAATATACATGGACAACTACATACTCTATGAATGAATGAAGACACACAGTAAGCAAATGTTTCAAAAAAAAAAAAAAAAGCACATAAAAGGATGGGGGAAAAGCGCCACAAAAAAAAAGTGTGTTACGTTGCTTTGGTCTAGTCACAGTGGCTACATTTGAAATAGATATTTTGTCTAAATAAAAGACAATGTCACTCAGTTATACTATTTAGTGTTTTACATATTTACACAGAAAAATGGTCATGCAACGATGAGGGGGAGGAAATGAGAATTCGATATGCACACAGTGCTTTGGAGTGAGGGAGTCTGCTTTCGAACACCTGTGCTTGCTGTTAATATGAACCTGTGGTGAGTAATAACAGTCTAGGCTTGGTTAACAACGTGAAAGTGGTTGGATAAACTACGCTTTTTCCGTTCAAAGTTACTTCCAATGGCTTTACTTTGCAATCACAATTTGTGCGCAGACCTTTAATGCTCCACAATACCTCCTCAGCCACAGTTATGTGGTTATGCAAAATATAGCCAAATATAGCCATGAGCATTCCTTCTCTCTGGCCATAACTTAATAACGAATCCCTCAAAAACGACTTGTGCAGTTCTAAACGAATGACGTGGGAAAACCTGAAGACGACAGCGTGAATGAGCGTGAGATTACGATGCAGACAGTCAAGTGAAAGATCAATCAAAACGGAGAGACAACAGACCAAAAAGTAGCCTAAAATAAGAGCTCCCCGCTGCTCTATCACCTGCAAGGTTTGGTCATTAGAAGGTTTTCCACACAGATTATATAATGTAAACATTAAATTTTCATGCATTACAGTATTAGGTGCACTCTTCCTTTGTCGCCACCTCCATTTGCAATTGATCCATCATTTGAAATATTGGTATGAGATATACATTAATCCACACACTTATACCAGTACTACAACAAAATATCTTCGGGTGCTATATATATATAAAAAATATACAACATCTCCTCCATTATATAGATTTTCATTTAACTATTAATCCTCGATATAGACTCTGCAAAATAAAAGCTCTCAGCAGCCCACTACCGCCATGCTCAGTCGTATGCACAGCCCTGCATAATACCGTGAGAAAACAGCAGCGCAACCCACAGTTTTTATATGTAACATGCTCCTCGCCGGTTTATATTTAGGCCCTCAAAAACTGACCTGCCTTGAGGACATTCAGTGCTGGAGCTACTGCATCTGCAAACTCTCACCTGACTGCTGCGTGAACCAGTTTCTTCTGAAATCTCATACAACAAAGACATGCAGACATGCCAGTCTCACTTCCTGTATAGCAGTCAGTGAAGAGTATAATCTAGTGGGCAGGAAAAACGGGAAGGGTAGGAAGACTTCATAACAGTTATTTGGCTTTGCTTTGCCAAGAGGTACATAAAGGGAACTAATGGGAGTGAAGGGAGATAAATGGAAACTCTGAATAAGAATGCAAACAGTTCAAACACTGGCTTAAATCTCTGTAATTCTGTAAATATGCTCTATTTTTAGTTTCCTGATACCAACCACAGAGGTGCCTTTCACTGTTATAAAAATAGCTGAGTAAGAAGCAAACAGAGAGAAGAAAAAAACAGAGAAAGAGGGGAATCGGCAGCATCCTGGAAATATCACTTATACTAAAACGTTTATGTGAGATCGGTGCATTGTCTAAAGAATTGACACGTGTGCAACAGTTGGTGGTCTTGAAAACTTGAGCAGAGTTCAAATAAAGCATTTCCTTTGAGCGTTTGGTTTGGCGTTCCCGGTAGGTTTTCGGAAACGGCTGAATAGGATGTTCACATGTAAGCAAGGAGGCGCACGTCAGCATTGGTTTGTTTGAATTGAAAACAGTTGAGTCCTGAACAAAAAGAGGGCAGGGAAGTTGTGCAAAATAACAGCGTGCTTCTCAGATGTTCTCGTTACTGCATTTCTCAGAAGTGACAATACATTCCTCATCAAATACGTACAAGCAGAAGAACAAAATATTGGTATTTTTTTAGACTTGGTAAAATGAACTGTTGATGCTATCAACTCCATGAAATACAAACAGCAGTTAACAGTAATATTTGGGATTGGAGGACTGGTGCAGCGAGGGTTTGCGTCGCCGATGAGCACGGTTCGGGCGGGTGATGACGTCGGCTTTAATAACCAGGTGATTGATTGGTCATCTCTCGTGGTGCATGAGTACGTGCACGCTGGTGTCTGGGTGTTTCACGTCGTGTGCTACCAACAAAGTTGTAACCAGATTTCTCTGTGTGTAGTAATGTTTTTTTGCTTTAAGGTTCCCATCGATTTTCAATACCCTGATTTGAACGTGGTCTGAGAAATAAAACACTTCTTTCCCTCCTCTCGCTCCCACAGATGGAAACAGGTCTTTGTGCTGGCTTTGTAGTGGAATAAAAACCCATTAAAAGCGTAGTGGGAGACACCTTAAAAGGATTTACTGGGAGTACATTTGTGTTAGCAGGAAGTGAGAATGCACCTTTTGGGAGAGCTCCCTTTTAACAGTGACGGGTGGTGAGTGCTTGCTCGATGATCCGGGCAAAGCCACGTTGAAGATAGTGCAGTATTTGGCCCAGAGTTGATTGTTTGGTTTACACCTTCAGAGTGTTGCCATGGTTTTTATTTGGACATATTGCTCGCAGCGCGTGTGTGTTTATATCTCTGTGGCAGTGATTTCCTCAAAGTGGATGTCATTGCTGCCGCTGCGCACTTCATAGTCCTCCATGTCCCTGTTCTCCAGCTCCAGACTCAGCTCCCTCATCACTCTCTCCAGATCACGGTTGCGACGGTACATCTGGATGTAGTTCTGCTGCAGCTGTTTCTGGTAGTGGATTACCTGAGTTGATGGGAAAACAGCATTTGAGTTAAGTACATAGGTAAGGAGGATTAGCATAAGCTTTAAAATCTAGTTTGACACGTGTCACGCTGAAGGAAAAAGATTTAAAGTCAGTCGCCACGAAATGTTTACCTTCTCCTTTTCCTCCTGCCACACCCGCCTCTCTTCGTCGAAACGTGACAGCTGCTCCTCACCAGTCCTCCTCTCATACATGAGCTCAGCCTTCAGCCTATCAACCTGTTTCGGTGTATCATGTTTAGTTCCTTTTCTTACAGAAATTTAAAGCAAAAAATTTGTAATGCTCGTCTCTACATGGGCCCATAAGCTACATAATAAATAAATGACAGCACAGAATGCAAAGTATTCCTATCAAAAGGCCACAAAACTGAGCTGACACAAAACCTCAATTGCATCAATTCACTTTCATCACATGTGCTTGTAAAAGTTACCGAAAAACACATACCTGTTGCCTGAGTCCCAACACTGTTTCTGCATTCTGCCTCTGAGCCTTGGCTTCATCGCTCTCTCCACCCCAGACCAGATGAGTCTCCTCTCCGTTGCGGTACACAGAGGGACTGGGACCTCCCCTTCCTGCCACAACTCTACCCTGTTGCAGTGTCAGACTCATGCATTGCCCCTTCATGGCTACATTTCCAGGCAGAGCAGGTCCGCTGTGACCGGTCAGAGCGTCACGTAGCCGGGCTGTCTCCTCTTCCAAACGGCTCACTTTCTCTCGGAGCAGCTCAGCTTCACTCTTGCGCCTCTGGAGTTCATTTTCGCAGACCTCCAGCTCCAGTGACCGTGTCCGCAGAGCAGTCTGGGCCTCCTGGGATCTAATCTGGCTGGCTTGCAGCTCAGAGCGAGCTTCTCTAAGCTGGGCCTTCAAGACCACAATGTCTCCTGCCTTCTGGCTGAGCTCCGACTGGATCTCCTTAAGCTGCTGCTTCAGGAGAGAGATCTCTCCTGACTTTTGACATACCTGGTGAACAACAGAAAGAAAGTGAGAGAGAGGCAAACCTCAATTTCTTCCAAGCTTACAAGTTCGTTTCAGGATTTTATGTTTTTATTAGTTGCTAAAAAGTAAGAGATGAACAGAAAATGAAAAGAGCAACTGACAAACAAAAATAGGATCACACAAATTCACAGCTGAGACATTTAATCACCGCGCTGCTTCTGACAGATTCATGACTGACTGTCTGGTATCTCGCTTTCACCTACCTCCCACTTTGTCTCCTCCAGACGTGGCCCTAGTTGGGTCTGCTCCCTCTGGATTGTGGCGCACCTCCTTTCCAGTGTCTCTCTGTCCTGCAGCAGAGAGGAGAAGTCCTCCTGTAGCTTCTTTTTCTCCTGCTGTAGCTGAAATACCTGACAACACACAAAGATGCACGTGATCATGCTTTCTTACAAAAACACAGATGTGCTAATCTAAAATAAGACATGCAAGTGTGGAGAGAGAAAACTACTAAAGCATAAGACAACATTAAAAATAACTGGAACAAAAACAAACACATTTGTAGCAGAGTGGGTTCACTGTGTAATGGATTAATCGAGCTTTCTAATTTAACGCTTACATTTCTTCATTTAATATTTTTAAATACTTGGCATACCTGTAATTGAAGCACCTGCTGTGCTCTCTTTGCCTTCTGAGAGGCCTGCTTCATCTTCGTGGCACAGCTCTGTCTCAGCTCCTCCATCTCTCTTTCACAGCGGCGCTGCTTCTCTTCATACACCTGTCACAGTAAAAGACGCAGCTGAGAGGTCAAACATCAGCTCCTCAGCGTATCAAGTTTATGATCGGTGTCTTGAGGCGACCGTGTCTCACCTGGCAGATGGCAGCTTCATTCTCGTCCAGATTTTCTTTGAGCTGCTGGAGCTCCAGGTCCCGTTCCCTCAGCTTCTCCTCGAGCTCCCGCACCACGGCCTCGTAACCCTCCACGGGGGGTGGAGAGTGGCCACAGGACCCGCTGTCTGACAGGGGCTGCCCGCGCCCACTAAGTGACCCCGAGCCTGTGCTCTTGCTGGACGAGGAACGTCCACTGTCTGAGTTACTGTGACCGTGGCTCCCGCCTCCACCAGAAGTGTTTCGGCTGATGCCCGACACAGGCTCCAGCTGGCCTCCTGACCCAGAACCAGCACTGGAGCCCTCACTGGGAGCCAAACTGTAACCTGTGCTGCTGTGAGTAGGGAGGCTGGAGAGCGAGTTCCTCCCTGAATCTGACATGGAGCAGGACTGACTGCTCCGAGCATTGCGACCACCGGTGTAGGAGTTGCACTTCCCTTCAGAGTTGGAACTGCTGCTTCCACCATTCCCACTTGTACCGCTGGCACTGCTGGATCCTCCATGGGGCAGCAGAAGGTTGAGGCTGGCCTCCGACAGAGTGCTGGCACCTGGCCGTGGCGAAAGATACTGTACGGAGTGCCGATTCTTGGGAACGACAGGCTTGAACGCTGTAGGACGGATCAGCACTTTCTCCATGTTCTGAAAGTGTAGATTATTAAAAAAAACCAACTAGCATTAATGACTGTTGTGTTAATTAGTAATGACTGAGTAAAACTCATTAGTAAAGGCTGAGCGATGTGCTGGCAGGCCACCCCACAAGGCTCTGATTAGTTTGGTTTGGTTTAATTGATATTTAAAGGGTTCATTAAGCAATTTCCTTAATGATATTCCTATCGTATAAGATGGATAGACAGACGTAAGATGGAGAAGAGTGGAGGAGAGGAAAAAATCTGATTAAAGGGCACAGAAACAAAGGGCACAGACGAGAGCGAAGGGAGAGTCGTGACAAAGACTGAGAGCGTGAAAGCATCCTCTCCTCTGTAAGCATTTTCTTAATGATCTTTCTCAGAGTTCACTAAAGACGTCACTGGATGCGAGCGAGCTCTGACACTCATCATGATGTGTCTGCAAGGTGAGCAGCTGTCAAATGATCCATCTGAGCCTGTCAGGCCGGTTATTAAGCTTCCCTCCGGATCGATAGGAATAAATAGCCAATTAGACAGCTGAGGTAATCTGCTGTAAAACGTGTTCACGCAGGCAGCAGAGATAACAGATTAAAAAAAAAGTCCTCAGTATGATATTTGATGTCCTGGTGGGTGATATTGACATGTAATTTAAGAAGAAACTGACCTATAAATATCTTCAGATTAGAGGTCAGGGGCACTGACAGAGGTGCTGGGGTTTCAGTGTCATGCTGAAAGGCACTTTCCACTTTCTGCACCACCCTACAGCCCCAAAGGATGTGAGATATGCGAAACAGTACGGTATGGTAAACGATTAATACACGGTTTAAGAGCTTTCAACTACATTTAATAGATTTCTTTAGCAGATGAAGCTGAAGATTGATATGGACTCAAAGGCATGGCCAATTGATTTGGACAGTTATTATACTTTTTTATTTCGTTTTGATTTTTTAAAAATTCTGTTTAGTTTCTTTTAGCCACAAGATTGGGTTTGCTAGTTTCAGTTTAGTTTTTATTAGTTTCAGTGTTAGTTTTAGACTTTTGTCAATATTATTGTATTTATTGCAAATGTCAGAGGCAAGAATATTTTTATTCTTGCATCCTCTTGTTAATTATCAGCAAAATGAAATCAGAGTATTAAATCAGCATCATCTTCCCAGATTATCCCTGTACTTCTCCTCACCTTCTCCAGCTGTCCAGACACTGGGATGAGTTTGGGAGGAGGTCCACCAATGTTCCCATTTAGAGTCCTGTTGTCTTTTTGGTCCTCTGAGTCGCTGCAGGGGCTTGCAGCAGTCAGCACCAGGTTGTCGTTCCAGTCTCCAACCACCACCTCCTTGCTCACATACCCAAAGTTCCCATTAGTGCTGCCACCGACACCGCCTACTGTTCCAGCAACCGTTACACCCCCTCCTGTCCCAGCAGAGTTTCCAGGCCGTGGCTGCTTCTTTGTGGGAAGCGGTGGAGGCAGAACCTGCGCCTGAGGCTCTGTTCTGTTGCTGATAACCAGCAGCTGCTCCAGGGAGCTCCCACTGCGGAGGGTATTATCCTGGAGCCGGAAGCAGCTGGTAGCTGGCGTGGAACGGCGTGGCTTGGTGTTGAATTCGCTGGCAGCCCTGCAGTGTCTCTCTTGGTACGTCCGGCCTGATATGAGACTACTCACTGACCCCATGGCTGTGTCAGAGGTGCAGTGCCCACAGGGGCCAGAGCAGGGACCTGAGGGGGAATGGGATGATAGCGGCCGGCACTGCTGGATGTCGAGGCCTGGATTCGGGTGGTCACTCACGGTCAGGGGTAGTGCCTGAACCAGAGCCATGGTAGCCCGACGGCGTCAGACGCACCACACACTCTGATAAAAGAGAAAACAGACACAAAATGTTACATTTATACTCCAGATGCAACTATTACACAGGTTTTTTATTCAATGGTGTTTATCCTAGTGTTGTATTTTTATTTTATTCAAAAACACAACACTAGGCACGAGAAACGATCACTGCAGAAAGCTGCACTGCGGTGGATCAGTCAAACTACATCAGTGTGGGCTGTAGCTGCAGAGCAAAAGTAGCAGTAGCCGTGTGGAAGGTAAAACACTAAAATGAGACTTGCCAAGAAGGACGCAAAGAAGGGTATCGGATGGGTTGGGCTTAACTCTGAACTGACGCTTCGCTCCACTAATGATAAAGTAAGTCAATCAATTTAACAAATCTAAACCAATCTATTTTATTTTAAAGCCCTGCAAGAGATCAAATTCTGTGGACATGCATTTCAGCTGATTTGACAGGTGTAAAAATTTGGAGCATGTAAGACGCTTTGGAAGGAAACACTTTCTCATGTAGCAGCTTTGGCTCCTGTGTCCACAGCTGTCTCACACATCATGGGTGGGAGGAGATAAAACTTAATGAAAAAAATCCTCGTATTACAAATCACCTCTGAACTCTCTTCAATGTGTTGCCATTATTAACAAAACTTTAAATGCAGACATATGTTTTGGAAGAAATTGTGTTTCGTTCTTACAGTAGAGTTCCAGAGACTTGAAGAATCAATGGCCTGTATATATATAGCGCTTTACTAGTCCCTAAAGACCACTAAGCGCTTTACACATCCAGTCATCCACCCATTCACACACACATTCACACACTGGTGATGGCAAGCTACATTGTAGCCACAGCCACCATGGTGCGCATGGACAGAGGCGAGGCTCCTCTGACCACCACCAGTAGGCAACGGGTGAAGTGTCTTGCCCAAGGACACAACAACCGAGACTGTCCAAGCCGGGGCTCGAACCGGCAACCTTCCGATTACAAGACGAACTCCCAACTCTTGAGCCACGATCGCCCCAATGAGCAATGAAGCAAACTTATTTTTTCTGATTCACTACACCCACTTTACAGCTGTTTGAAATATTTCAAACCCCCTCCTCCGTGACCTCCACAGTCATGGCTCATCCCTCATTAAACATACTGTATCTACTGCTAATTGCCAGTGTCATTAACGAGGCAGGAGGAGAAAAAAAAAAGAGGATGGATTTAGTAAAGGGTGAGGGGAGTGAGTCACAATCATCTCCAGCTCCAGCTGCTCTGTGATATTCCTGCGTGTCCTCGTCTGAACCTGCGAGCAGTCATCTGGGTATTATTCCTAAAGTGGTTTGAAATTTATTCACTTTACCGTTTTATGATGACAAGGCTCACACCCATCAAAGAACATCTTTGAAGGAAATGAATATTAGCTTCAGTCGGTTGCTGTACTATTTTTAGGCAGTGAAACATGGATAGATATTATTAACACAATAAATGGAAGCAGATTAAGTCTTCAATTTGCAGATAGCATTATCAGTATTGCCCAGAGGGGCATAGACGGGACTCGGATCCTAGCCTGCTGTGCCAATCTGAAACCCGTCTGGCCAAGTGGAATAATCCTTTGTGCCATGGCTGCACACGGTTATGTACATGTCCATTCTGAAAAATGGTGACAATAATCACCCCCTAAGAGAAGTCTATATTCTTGGAAATACAATAAATACAAACACCAGCTGTGGATTAAAATAAAAAGGAATGAGAACAGTTTTGGTTGGCTGTTCTAAAGCAAGTGTGTTAACTCATGTTTCAGATCTCACAAATTGAGCCAACAGTGCAAACTCTTGAACAGTGTCTCACTGAAGGCGTTCATGGTATTGGTATTATCAGAGACTACCTCGAGAATTTGGGAGTGGAGCGGATGGATGTCAACCCTATCGAACACTTGTGGGATTGGCTCGGGCATGCTGTTCATGGCAGAGTGAGAACAAAACCACACTGGCTCGCTTTTCTGTACAAATGTGGCAGCATTTAAGGGGAAGTAAACAGGTTTTCCAATAGTATAAGATTTATTGCCAAGAAGCAGTGTTCCAACAAAGAAATTATCAACCAAACATAAACTTCCTTACTTTTTATGCTAAGCTTACATACACCCGCTCGAGCAGTATACCAGCAGGGTTCATATATAATCAGCCGATTGTAGCCATTTGCCGGTATATCGGTATCAGCGTTCGTAACAGTCAAGTAAAGAAGACACAGGAGAAACACGCATCAGCCATGTTAAGAGTGTTGATGGTGGATTGTTTGTCTGCCAGAGATTACCCTGAAACTTTTCCATGTTGTCAAAAGGTGTTTGGGACACAACAAACACCAGAACCAGCTGATCCGAGGAGAGTCAGCAGCATGTAAATGAGTTACACAACTTACTTTTTAAAATGCATGATCATCTTGTCTTAGTAAGGACATATACATAACTGTATATGAAAACTGTTTGGCAAATGTTTCTTTCATGTATCTTATTGAAAATACTGGCCAATATATCGGATATTGACCAGTGGTATTGGATTTTTAGATGGTTGGCCCAAATGGGTGAGTGACATTGATTCCATCCATCACAGACCACTACTGGAGTGGGTTTTTCCTTACACTCAGTATTTCACTCTCCAACAAAAGTCGGTCATCAAACGACTCATTTTAATTTGGAAGAAAAGCGGTCTTTTAGCTGCTAACCATCTGCAATGACTACACAGCTGAATTAAGAAAAGCTAAACTATCTCCTCCACCCCTTTCTCGTCACATCTAGCTTCAAAAGGATGGCAATGGTGAAAATGCTCATCTCAAGGCTTAAAGATGGGACTCTACAAATTAAAGGTTTATATCATGGTGGCATGAAATTTTCAAGGGGTCACTAGAGGAACTGAGGTTTTTGGCACTTCAGTGTTGGCCTCATTTTGTGTGCTCGAGGTTGCCTCACACATGACACACAGCAGGAAACAGTCAAGCTCCGACATGTTTGTATTATTGAAAATACTGTGTGATTTAGATGAGAGAGCCTTACGGGCAGAGCGTGCAGCAACTCACACATCACACCCGCTCGCTAGTGGTGAATGCAACAGATATTAACTGTGCTATTTGAATACTGGTGCAATTGGACATCACATGGACTTTGTACTTGGAAGCTGGGAGGTTAACTGGGCATTTGCTGTTTCACATGCAGCTCTGTTGGGTAAGAAAAGCTGAAATATTTTGATTGTTCGTGAAAGTATGTTGACATAATGGATTTTATTTGTCATTAATGATTGAATCCTGATCAAGCAATCAAGTTTACAGTATCCTGCTTTGATTTTATCACTGAAAAAATACAACTCACTGGATAGGAGTTTGAGGAAAGCATATGTAACGGCTCAAACTATTCATTCGTGATCAGTAAGCAGGACGATTCGATTCCTGCCAGTTCACTCCATACTGACTAAACCGTCTGTGAGTACATGACAGAGAGTGACGGGGAGTTAAAGAGACGAGACAGGCTTCGTGAGTACTCGTGAGTCAAGGAGATAAAGATATGCGTGGTATGTGATCATTTCCAATGCCAAAATAATCACGCCTCACACAACCTCCTTTGATCCAGCCACCACTAACCCCCACCCTTCTCCTCTACACTCCCAGCCCTGACAAGGACCTCTCAGGCAGGGATAATAGAATTAACAAGCCTCTGCGACCGTCAACCGTGACCCCCTCCTCCTGAGGAATGGGGTGGGGGGCGGCTGGTCTGATTCTGCCCTCCCCTCCCACCCCTGTGACCTCCGAGGGCAGGGCTTTGTTCTGGCTACTCGGGCAACAAATCTCAAAAGCTAATTTCCCCCTCTGATGTTGCTCACTGGTTGGTTCTTAAAAGTTATTGAAGGCCTCCTCTCCTCCTTGGTTCTTCTGAGAAAGTGAAAATATTTTCATAATCCGCTCCATCCGCCCTCACTGCTTCCTCCACCTTCCTCATTACACGCATCCTCCTCTGCTGTCAGCAGCACAAGACAGGCAGAGAAAAAACAGCCATCACCACTAAATATAGAAAACATCTCAAGTGCCTGAAATCATTCTGATAGTCTTTCATGAGGCATTTGATTCGGTGTTCAAAAATAAACTCCAATAGTGTTACAGCTAGCTGTGATGGGGTCAACCCAGGGGCACTTTACACCACATCCTGACACTCTAAAACTATTAAATGATGCTGAACCGCTTAAAGGCAGTATTACTGCTTCTGACAGGAACTGGAAATACTTCAAGTGGATGTGAGAGTTTAGCGTCCACATGGTACCAACTGGCCCAGGATGAACAAGAGCAGGTAGCTCTCTAACAAGATCCAGAAGTCAGTTCTGTGACGGGGAAATAATCCCGTTATGATAAGTCTGTTAATAAAGCCAGTCCTTCCCAGGAGAGGAAACCCCATTATTGAGCAGCAGTAGATCGCCCCTTGCAATCCCACGCAACCTCAGAGCTGTTCCGGAGACTCTGCTGGGCTCAGGACAAACTCAGAAAAGTGAGAACACGAAGGAAGGAAAAGAAAGGGGATAAGGGGTAAACACACAAAGGAAGGCTAGCTGTGAGTGTTGCCTGGGGTTTTAGGGGATTTTCCAATATCAGGTTGCCCAAAAAGAGGAGCCAAACAGAAATGAGCTTCAGGGAGAACCGTGCATCCATAATCCTGTTTATCATTATTTTGCCAGTGCAGAGACACAGAGGTCTGAGCACCTTAACGTCTCAAATCAAATGTGAACCGAGACAACTTGTCTTTGCTGAACCACCTCCTGCTGACCGAGCAAAAATGCTGTTACTCATGTCGGCTTGCAGGAATTTTCCTTCAACCCAACAAGCCGAAGACGACAACGACATGCAGTGAAATCTGCACGGCAGGCCACAGCTGTGTTATGGCTGTGAAAACAAGTCATGCTGAAGCATCTTCGGTCCTGTAAAACCGGAGGGTTTATGAGTACATGCGGTCAAGCAGCAGAGTGTGGCATTCTGTTTAAACTCAAATATTGTAACTAGCAAAAAGTGCTTT